AATATGTTGAAAACTTCAAAACTCCTTTTCAGTAATTCACAGAAATAAATCAAGGACATAGAAGAAATAAATAACACAATAAACCGACATGAACTTATTGACATTTACAGAACACTCCAACCAACAATAGCAGAATAAACATGGTCTTTAAGTGCACACATAGAACACTCACCAAGACAGAATCATAAAACAAACCATAACAAATTTAAGAGACCTGAAATCATACTCAGTATTTTTCTCACTATAACAGAATTGAACTAGAAATCAGTATCAAAAAGACAGCCAGAAAATCATCAAATACTTGGAAATTAAACAACAAATTTTACATTATCCACAGGTCAAAGATAAAGTCTCAAGGGAAATAAGAAAACACTCTAAACTGTACAAAAATAAAAATATATGATTCAAAACTTGTGAGATGTATATAAGCAATGCTTAAAGGGAGAATGAAATAATTAAATATTTATATTTAAAAAGCTGGGAGGTCTTGATGAATAATCTAAGTTTCCACCTTTAAGTAATTAAAAACAAAAGCATCAGTGTGGTGATTGTGGGGGCAGGAGGGTGGTGGGTGGAAGTGGAGAAGGGTATAGGGAGGATAAATGGTGATAGAAAATGTATAAATAAAATAAAATTGAGCCCAGCTGGTGTGGCTGAGTGGTTGAGCGTAGGCCCATGGACCAAGGAAGTCACTGGTTGGATTCCCAGTCAGGGCACATGCCCAGGTTTCAGGCTCAATCCCCAGTAGGGGGGGCATGCAGGAGGCAGCCAATCCATCTCTCATCAATGTTTCTCTCTCTCTCTCCTCTTCTCTCTAAAAAATAAAATAAAATAAAATAAAAAATGTATTAAAAATTAACTTTGGAAAAAAAATTAAGAAGCTAAATAAACCCAAATCAAGCAGAAATAAATAATATGTGATTTTATATATATACTTATTTTTTAAGAGGAAAAACCAATGAAATAAAAAACTGTTTCTTTGAAAAAAGCAATGAAATTTAAACCTCTAGCCAGGCTAACCAGAGAGAGAGAAAGAAGGCACAAATTACCAACATCAGGATTGAAAGAGAGAATATCACTACAGACATTAAAAGGGTAAAGGAATACTATGAACAACTCCATGCACATAAATTCGACAACTTAGATGAATGGGACCAATTCCATGAAAGCCACAAACTATTAAAAATTCACCCAAAAAGAAATAATTAACTCAATTAGGCCCACATCAAAGAAACTGAATACATAGTAAAAATCTTCTAAAAACAAAAACTCAAAGCCCAAATGCTTTCACCAGGGAATGCCACCAAACATTTAAAAAGAAATAACACCAGTTCTACACAATCTCTTCCAGAAAACAGAATAGACAATACTTCCCAACTCAATTTATGAAGCCAGAATTACCCTGATACCAATATATTAAAAAAAGGAGCAATGCACCACAATCAAGAGAGGCTTAATGCTGGGAATGCAAGGCTAAATCAACACTCAAATATCAATGTAATCCACGATATTAATAGACCAAAGAAGAAAAACTACATAGCAATAAAATGATACAAAAAGAATCGCATGACAAAAAATCCAACAACTTCAAGATAAAACTCTCAGCAAACCAGAAAAGAGGAAATTCCTTAACCTGATAATGGACATTTTCAAAACACCTACAGATATCATCATATTTAATAATGAAGGACTAAGTACTTTCCCCCTAAAATCAAGAATCTTTAGCAAGGCCATCTTCTCTCACCACTCCTATTCAATAATGAACTAGAAGTCCTAGTCAGTACAAACAAAAAGAAAAATAAAAGGAACACAGGAAGGAAGAAATAAAACTGTTCCTATTTGCAGACAACACGATTTTCTACATAGAAAACCCCAATGATTCTACAAAACAGCTCATAGAACTAATGAGTGAGTTTAGCAAGGTTGCAAGATACAAGATCAGCAAATAAAAATTAATTGTACTTCTAAATATTAACAATAAACAATTGGAATTGAAAATTAAATAAACGTATGTATGTGTATAGATACACACACACATAAATTATGTGTATAACTATATATAAATCAACCAATCACATTCACACTAGCCCCCAAAATAAACACATCTTTACATAGGTTTAAATCTAACAAAATACAAAAAAGACTTACATGTTGAAAACTACAAAATATCGATTAAAAATATCAAATATCTAAATATATGGGGAGACATACTACGTTCATGAATTGGACAATTCTATATATAGTTAAGATGCTACATATATAGTCCATTCTCCCCACACTGATCTGATTGAATACAATCCCACTCAAAATGTTAGCAGAAATTTTTTGTAGATATAGACAAGCTGATTCTAACATTTTTATGCAAAGTCAAAGGACCTTAAATACTCAAAACAATTCTGAAAAAGAACAAAGTTGGAAGACTCACACTACCTGATTTTGACTCGCTATAAAGCAACAGTAATCAACACAGGAGAGTTTTGGCAGAAGGACAGAAACACTCATTCATGGAACAAAATAGAGACTCTAGAAAAAAGACCTAAAAAAATGTGGTCAACTCATTTTTTACAAAGATGCAAAGGCAATTCAAAGGAGATGACACCATGTTTTCAACAAATGGTACTGGAACAAGTTGACGACACCTGTGTTAATCGTTCTTTATTTTCTGTATTTTATGATATTTTGACATCTCCAAAAACTTGCTGGCTGGGGAGAGACTGCTCCTCCCAGGGCTAGCCAATTCTTAGCTGGAGAGCATGTCTTTCATATGTAATTCCAACAACCTCATTATCTAACTCTCACTCACCAAGCCAATATTTTCCCATGCTATATATCATCCCAGAGCCTGAAACCAAGCAACTAGAGACCATCCCTAAACCCTAAAGCTCACTGTAATTATTCAAAATAGCCAATACTATACCGCTTATCCTGCTTTATCATTTCTTTCCCTTACTGTCAAATAAAGGGTCTGTACTCAGCTTTCTCCTAACTCCTCTGCTTGATCAAACCTGGCATTTCTCCTGTGGCCCTGTGTGGCACACCATATCCCTAGTCTTTTGGAAAATGTAAGTAATTCATCTTTCAATAATACTGACCTCTCCAAATTGGCATTCAGTCACCTCGATAAATTAAAATCCGCTGGGTATAATTTTAACACAACAACCATATGCAAAAAAAAAAAAGCAAACTTCAATCTATACTTCACAGTTTATACAAAAATCAACTCAAAATGGATCATATATCAAAATGTAGAATTCTAAAGCTTTTAGCAGAGAACAGAAGTCTTTGTGACCTTGGATTAAGTGAAGCACTTTTGGGTGTAATACCAAAGCGTGACCCATGAAAGAAGAAACTGATAAATTAGATTCCATCAAAATTAAAACATTTTGCTCTATAAAAGATACTGCCAAAAGAATAGAGAGAGCCCTGGCCAGTTTGGCTCATTGGTTAGTGCCAGCCTGCAGACCAAAGAGTCATGGGTTCAATTCCAGTCAAGGGCACGTACCTCAGTTGTGGTTTGTCCCCTATGGTTTGTCCCCGGCCCTGGTCGGGGTCATGCGGGAGGCAACCATTCAATGTGTCTGTCTCATATGAATGTTTCTCTCTCTCTCCCTCCCTCCCCCTCTATCTGAATATAAATGAAAAAAATATATAACCTTGGGTAAGGATTAAAAAAAAGAATGAAGAGAAGCTTTAGACTGTAAGACAATATATGGAAGCTCAACAATAAGGAAACAACTCAATTTTTTAAAAACAGGTAAAATACAGATTGCCCTTGAAAAGATGCTCAATATCATTAGTCATAATGGAAACAAGTTAAAACCACTACCACTACACATTTATTAGAACAGCTATAATATAAAAACAACTGACAAGTGTTGTCACGTATGCGGAATAAATGAAACTTGCACACATTGCTAGTTAGAACGAAAAATATTATGGCTACCTTGGAAACCAGTCTGACAATTTCTTATAAACAGACGTTTACCATACCACCTAGTAATCTCATTCCTAGGTATTTAACCTAGAAATATAAAAATTTATGTTCACCAAAAACCTGTAAACAAATATTCACTGTAGTTCTATTCATAATCACTCAAAACATGAAACAATGCAAATGTACAATGGTAAATGGATAAACATTCATATATATAATGGACTACTACTCAGAAATAGAAAGAAATGAACTACTGATACATGCATAACAATGATAAATCTCAAAGGCATTATGTTGAGTAAAAGAAGCCAGTCTTCAAAGGTTACATACTAATGATTCCATTTATATAAAACTCTGAAAAAACAAAACTAGAAATCGGAGAACACATCAATACTTGCCAGGAGTTAAAGGTGGGTGGAGAGTTTGACTATAAAGGGGCAGCATGAGGAAATCTTTTGGAGTGATGGAATTGTTTTGAATCCCAATTGTCGTGGTGGGTGGTTACACAAATTTATACATGTTTTAAAACTTGTAAAATGTACATCAAAAAAAAATTTTTCTTTTTCCTTAAATTTCTTACAAAAACAAGTTTAAAGAGACCAATGAAAACACTTGAGGGCAGGATTGTTTTGTTTTCAAATAAATTACTGGCCTCCATTTTAACATTTAGTTTACTCAGATTTTGAAAAATAGATCTCCTAGTGCTAACAGAAGTTTCAGGGGGTCAAATCCACTTTGTCAACTAAGCCAAAATAGTGACATAGAGGCAATTTCAAAGTCTCAGCCATCAATTTTAATTAAACAAATCATCAATTTATTGGGGGTAGGGGGGAGACGAGATAAAAAAATGTAACTCAAACTATATAGCACTATTAAAAACTGAAAGTCAATTTTCCAACTCTAAATGTTCCATTAACTGCAGAAATTAAACCCCATAAGAATTATGGGATTTAATTTAATCATGACACATCCAGCATCTCTCCCCCATTCTGTAGATAAATACTCCCCGCCCCCCACCCCCCCCACCCCCCCACCCCGCCTTCAAAGTACTGAAGAAATTACTTACAGCTTTAAGGGTAAGATCACACTGAAAAACAAGCTTTCGGAGTTGTGCTAAAATGTCTTTTCTAGTATTTTCTAGATCACTTCGTCTTTCTTCAACATTTGTCACACAAACTTTGTAGAGTTCATTTGCTTCTTCTACCTTCAGGAGTAACACAGAAAAAAAACACTAATCCTTAGAATCTATATTTTAAAACAAATACTATTGCAGTAAAGCTTAGCTTAAATAATTGAAAGCCTTTATGTATAAAAATTCTGAAAATTTTTATGTCTTAAATAGCATATTTTAAAGATAAATAATTCACCATGGTCAGTGATTCAAGGGTATTTCACTTTAATGAATAGTCAAGTACAATTTACAATTAGTGTATTGTTTGCCTATAAAATAAATGTCAAATTCTACTTAACAGCCTTTCTATTTATATTTACCATTTTCTATATATATAATCTTCTTATAGAATTTATCAAATTCTTTGTATTTATGATGTAATTTATCAAATTACATCATAAATACAAAGCTTCAGCCTGGCCTTGTTGTCAGGTATTGAAATTAGCACACACATATGCTCATAAAGAATCAAGTAAAAAAATATCAGATTACTGACTTACTTAAGATACTTCTTTCACAAACAACCTCCAAAATTCAAAAGATAAGCAAAAGTCTCTTAGCATAGTGGTTCTCAAAGTGTGGATCCCCACCAGCAGCAGCATCACCTGGGAACCTGTTACAAATGCAAGTTGTCTGGGCCTAATCCTAGACCTATTGATCAGAAACTGGGGGTGCTGCCCAGTAGTCTTTTTTAACAAGCCTTCCAGGTGATCCTGATGCATGCTGAAGTTTCAAAACCAAAGCTTTAGCAGACTATTGCTAATTCAACTTGCAAATAACAAAAAATTATTACTTTTTGAAGAGCCTCCTCTTCCAGCCTTCGCTTTTTTTCCAGCTGCTTGTTAAGATTTTTTGCTAATCCACCACTAGAGCACTGATGCTCCTCTTCCGCACGAAACATGGAAGATTTTGCCTTTTCATACTCATCTTGACGTTGTATACATAACAATTTTGCCTTTTTAAGAGCAGTCTCTGTTTCGAGCTACACAGAAAAAAAATGAGTATTAAATACAGAATAAGAAAGAAACCCTAAGTTACAGGCTTCTTTAGCATAGTCAGCAAGATAGTTAATATAACGTTTTAGAAGACTATGGGAGTAAGGATATGCATCTTACCAGGGTGTTGCTTATATACTGCAAATGACTTTAGATATTCACAGAGAGGTAGATAAAACTCCATTAAAATACTAACCATTTTATTTTGTTCCTGTTTCCAAAGTTCTTTCATTTCTTTCCTTTGTTTTTCCATTTCATTTTTCCTCCCAAGTAGAGGCTGACAAGGGTATTTTTAAAAAAGAAAGAAAAAAAGCTGTTTTCTAAAGGTATGCAGTTATTTTTAAATATGTATACTGTACATATAAATGTTTACCTGCACAAATTTGTTGGCTTGGAGAGCTGCAATTGTTTGTTGTAAACGGTGACTGCTCTCTATATCCTTAAGAAGAGCATTGGTAAATAGAGACTGCAGTGGCATGAACTCCTAAAATTGAAAATTGAAAAGTGAATTTTCCAGTAAAAATTGCACTACAGTTCCAGACCCTCCCCACACTACTCTTCTTCAAAAAGAGAAATTATAAGTTGAACCCCTTTTATATTTATTTTATTTTAGGCTTAAAACAACATAAATTTATTGTCTCTTAGTTCTGGAGGTCAGAAGTCTGAAATCAAGGACTGTACTGCCTCTGGGGGCTCTAGGGGAAAATTTTTCCCTCATCTAACATTTGGAGGCTGCCAGCTTTTTATTTATTTATTTATTTATTTATTTATTTATTTATTTATGTTACAGATGTTTCTCCTTTTTCCCCCACTGATTCCCCCCTCACCCTCCCTCCCTGCCCTGTCCCCAGCTCTGTTGTCCATGTCCATCATTCATGCATACATGCATGTACATTCTGTGGTTTATCTCTCCCCCACCACCCCCTCCTCTTCTGGGGATTGTAGTCTGTACCCCACTTCCACATCTCTGGGACTACCCCAATTCCTCAGACTGTTATGGTCATTATATTCCACAAATAAGTGAGATCACATGATACTTGTCTTTCTCTGTTTTGAGCCCCTTTTTTAAAGAAAAATATCTAGTCATAAGTATGACTATGGGAAAAATATTGAAGAAAATTAATGATAGTTAATTATAAAGCTAGCAAAATGAATAGTAACAAGATAACATTCATATAGAATTGTGAATTCCCTAGCTTTTTTTTTTCCATAATGGGTATCCAGGTCAATTTAAAAGGATTTTATTGGTTAATAAAAAGTTAAGGAGCTCATCTGAATAATCTCTTGGTCTAGAACCCTAGTAGTTCACTGAACACTTACCTTGAGTCCAAAGTTAGTTCTAGTTGCCTCTGCCAACTTGACAATATGTCTAGTGGACTCCAATTCTGAAAAGGTCAAAGAAAGCATCAGCAGATTAAAAAAAAGTATTTATCCCCTCACACATTCCAAAATTATTTGTTTATTCCCCAATTAAAAAGTGATCACAAATACTAGTCTGCATCATGATATGATGCTGTGATTATTCATCGGAAGTGTTTGTCAAAACCAACTGGGAAAACTTTCCAAACATACTTGCTTAGACCTCGCCTCTCTGGAGAATGGGACTTAGGTCTGTGTATTGTCCTTCTATAAATAAGACTATTCAAGTGATTTTGAAAGACATTCTCTATTAAAAGTAAATAATGTAGTAAAAAGAACACAGGCTTTGGATAAATTCTATATTCTTCCAGTTACTGCTATGTGATCTAGGCAAATCTGTGCTCTAACCTGAAGCAAATCACCCATCTTGTTTGTCTCAGCTGTAAAATAATAATTTTTGTCTTGCCTACTTCCCAGGACTTTGGTAAGGATTAAATGACATAATGGATGTAAAAGCATCTTGTCAACCATAAACCCTGGGAAAATATTAGTAATTAAGATGTTCCTTATATGTTTCCACTGCCTTCTGTTCATACATATATCTACTGTTGGTTTTATCTCCTTTTACCATATTACATTTCTTTTTATCCACTAAAGTATGACTTCTTTAAAGGCAAACACAGTATACTATTTATCTTTGTGTCCACAGATGTAGTGGTTGTCCTACAGTCATGCTCGATAAGTACACTTATTGTAAGTTTGTCTTATTTTAAGAAAAGAAAATGGACAATGATTTTATTCACTAAAATGAAACAGCTACTAATTTGGAATCATAGTACTCAGTCTGGAGCAAACGAATTTAGTTCTTATACTCCAAAGTTAATCAGATGTCCCAAAGGTCTACTTACCCAAGTTAAGCTTTTTTTCAACCCATGACATTATGTTCTTGGTATATTTTGACCATGTTTTAGCATATGACAAGGCCAGTTCTACAGAGTCAGTGTTCTTTAACAGCATGCTGTCTAGTTCTACAGGAGAAAAATGTACTAAAAATAAAATAAAAATATTAAGGTAAGTATATATTAAATATGATCATGTAACTAAACAAAGAAATAGTCAAATCTAAGATTCTCTTCAATGAAAATTGATTTAAAATACAAGTAACAAATTTAGAATTAAAGGGTCACAGTTTAAACTTAACATGATTTCAATTAAAATTTTTTTTGATCTTAATGTGTATTTCTATTATTCATCAAGTTATAAGCCCAACATAATTCTTGATCAGTCTCTATCATCACATTATCTATTCTAGCAGGTTTTTTCCTTTAGGTTTTATATGTAAAACTTTACCTATCAGTTTATGTTAAAATAAGTATATTAGGTTACTCAGCAAGAAGAAATCAAAAATATTTATCAAAATTCAAAACATTTATCGAAAGTAACTGCAAAAACTTTGACAAAGGTTTAAAGTACTTTAAGCATTCATTACCTTTTCCATTGGATGAGTCCACTGATTCCATAGAAATATTTTCAAAAGACTTATAACATGGAAGAAAACAAATTTAAGATTAGAGCAGAAAGTAACAGATCTTTGCTTCAGAAACTTTTCACTCTAATTTGTTACTCTGACATAATTCCTGCTAAAGAATTTAAAGTATTTAGAACTCAAAGGGCCTGAAAACTGTCCAAATGCCAGAACAGTTTATAAGAATTATATAGCTTTTTACAACAGCAGTTCTCAAGGTCCAAGAATGAATAACCTCATTGTTTACTAACAGCATTAGTTACTGTTAATGATTCCATTTAAAACATGAAATTCTGAAGATCTCAAAAATATCAGTCAGGAAGTAATAGAAGCAATCTAAATAGATTGCTATCTAAACAGAAGACAAAGACCTATCTCTTCCAGCCATCTTTTACCATTTTATTATATAATAAGCATTTTCTCTGAATGTCTATTGAAAAACATAGTGCAGAACTTTATAGGATAATGGAAATGTTCCCTCTCTGCACTGTCCAGTTAGGTAGAGCTACCAATTACATGGAGCTATTTGAGCATTTGAAAAGTGGTTAATATGGATGAGAAGTAAATTTTAAATTTTATTTAATTAATTTAAAATTAAAAAGCAACATGTGACAAAAGTACCTTATTAGACAATGCAGGAAAACATTACCAAAATTGTGAGATCACAAACAAATTTGACCTACTTAGTTGGGCAATATAGAATGTGAGGAATTCAATGCAAAAGGGATCAAAGAGACCTAAATTTGAAGTCCAGGTCTTTCACTTATTAGCTGTATGACACTGGGCTACACACTTAAGCTCACTTAATTTTGGTTTGTCTGTTTGTAAAATGGGGATAAGAACATTACTTTCATAAGGATATATATTTTTTTAATTCTCACCTGAGGATATTTTTCCTTTATCTTCAGACAGAGAGTAAGGGAGGAAAGGGAGAGAGAGAGAAAAAAAAAGAGAGGGAGAAAGAAACATCGATGTGAGAGAGACACATCGACTGGTTGCCTTCCTCATGACCCTGACCAGAGCCAGGGACCAAACCGCAAGTGAGGTACATTCCCCTAACAGGAATCAAACCTACAACTCTTTGGTTTGAGGGTCAACACTCTAACCACTGACCCAAACTGGCCAGGGCCATAAGGGTATTTTAAGGACTAAGATGACATAGATTTTGCACAGTACATAGTACATAATAAGCACTATTAAATAAATGGCAACTATTTTTTTTTTTCTTTATTGATTTTAGAGAGAGAGGAAGGGAGAGGGAGAGAGAGAGAAACATCAATGAGAGAGAACATCAATTGGCCACTTCCGGCATGCCCCCCACTGGGGACTTGGCCTACAACCTGGGCATGTGCCCTGACCAGTAATCAAACCGGCAACCTCTGGTGCATGGGTCAATGTTCAACCACTGAGCCACATCGGCCGGGTACAACTATTATTTTTAAAGAGATTTTTCAAACTCTTCATCAAACAAGGTAATTTTATTCTATTAGTAGTATTATATCACCATGAATTTTATTTCAATCTCTAGGGTAAGCTAAAAACTGCAAAAAGGAAAACAATGTGCAAAATAAAAAAAGAAAGCAAAAAGTATTTTCCTATTAAGAACTGGTAGCCCTGGCCGGTTTGGCTCAGCGGTTGGAGCACTGGCCCACAGACCTGAGAGTCCTGGGTTCGGTTTCCGCTAAGGGCACGTACCTTGGTTGCAGTTTGTCCCCAGCCCCGGTTGGGGTCGTGTGGGTGGCAACCACTCAATGTGTCTCTCTCACATCGATGTTTCTTTCTCTCCCTCCCTCCCTCCTGCTCTATCTGAAAAAATAAATGCAAAAATGTCCTCGGGTGAGAATAAAAAAAAAAAAGAATTGGTGTAATTTGTATGTACAACAGGCACACAAACAAGAGATATGATTCACACCAAAAAGTTAAAATGATCAGATCCTTGTCACACAGATATAATTTTTATTACATCTTCTGAACTAGCAGCATATTTGGAGGATAACAATGAAGAAAGATCATGAATGATAGCAAATTATGCAAAGATTTTTAAATTCTTCATCATTCTGATATTGTTTATACACTATCCTCCTTGATTCATCAATGGATGACTTCAGAAATAGTAAAAAAAAAATGTTCTCAGTATTGTAGTACATATAACAAATGCCGTAAGTAGTCATTCATATTTTGTGTATTATTTTAAGAAAGATCTGAAACTTTTATATTATTTTGATATAATACAAGTATTTGGCACATTTCCAAATATTTGTTAAAATCCCTTTTGGATTTGCTCATCCTTAACAGCAAATGATCAACATATGTTTCTTTTTTTTTTTTTTTTAATGAATTTTTATTTATTTTTTTGTTACAGATATTTTACCTTTTTACCCCATTGGCACCCCCCACCCCACCCCCACCCTGTCTCCGGCTTAGTTGTCCATCAACATATGTTTCTAATGCAGTTTGTTTAAATATCTTGCATTTGGTGAAAAAAGAAATGTGTTTAAATGAAAATACTGCTACTATTAATCTTTAAAGCAATATTCTATATACATTCCTCTATGTTCTATTATTTCACAGCAATTTTTCTTCCAATTGGGAATCAGAACCCCAATCCTCTGACATACTTATGGGGATGCTCTTAGGTAGACTTAAGACCAATAGGTCTGTTAATAAATGTTTCATAGTAATAAACTGTATAATTTGTGAGAAGATTAACACTTCTTTACTTTTTGGATTATTTTTCTAAGTTTCCCTCTTGACAATGTCTTTAAGATCTGCGACAATGTCAAGAGAGAAAACAGTTAAGAATTACTTACTAAAATTTTGGACCATATGACAGATTCATTATATAAGACACTAAAATGATCAGGCATGTACTTTTAAATGATAATTCTACTTAAACAGTACAATTACAAAATCATCATATTTAATGTAAACTGGTATCTTTTTCTTGCTAAACTCAAATCTATAAAAGAGTAATGCTGAGATTAAGATTTAAAAATTATTGAAATATTAAGTTAAAAATATTAAAGTCTTTGCTTTCACACAAACTTGGCCTACCTTATTTTCCCGAGAAACAGGCATTTGGAATAATGAATCATTGCCTACATCTCCCATAAGGAAGTTTGTCAGGCTATTGAGGGAGGTTAAAAAAAAGAAACAAAGACAAGTCATTGCATTGCCCTGTCACAGGATTTGCATTCAATATGTCATCCAGAATAAATATTTTTCAGTAAGACCCTTAGAAATAAATTCCTAGGACTCTATTCACATAAATCACAGTCACCTTTAAATGAATGCTGCTTCTAAATAGCTCTAAAGACACCTTCAAATATAGTAATAAAACAACACAGCATATAGCTTTTCCAATGTAATAATATTTTATATTGGTTAATACTTTACTTAACATGCATTAACTGAATTATGTGCTATAACTCTCACTGAGATACCTAGGCTCAAATTTCTTTAAATAACGGTCCTCTACTTACATATTCCCAAAGGTAAAGACCAATGAATCAATGGAAGAAAATACTTCTCTGAAGAGGTCATTTTTGTTTTCTTCATTAACGTCTGTGAAGTTCACAGCTATAGGTAAAAGTTGGTTAAAATCAATGAGGGAGAAAATATTTTAAAATATTTATATAAAGTCATTTAATACCTTAAAAATTCATCGTTACTTATAGAAGCATTAGAAAAATCAGAAAAAGAAAAGCTTAACACACAAAATGGACATTATGTTCAAGTTCTTCATTTCAAAAAAGCATACAAAAGAATTAGTTTACATGAAAGTAGCTGGCATTCCAAACTGACTACTCTATGCATTATACAATTTGATACATCTAGGAAGTGACTCAATGTGAAATCAATCAATCTTGGAGTCCGAGAGTCCTATGTGACACCAGACCTCTCCCATTAAGAGTGCTCTATGCTTTTTTCTTATTTATTGCTTTATGGCATTTAAAAAAAAACAGCTAAACACACTGTGGCTTACTTAAGTCAACATGAAGTACATTTTTCACTATGAATTACCAATAATTGAAGGCATATATACAATACTTGACATCGCATAAAACTTATATACAAAGCATATCACATTAAAAATACCCAATGTTTTAGAAAATTTAAATTCCTATTTATTTATAGCCTTATTTCTTACAGGCCCTTGGGCTCTGAAGTCCATGTTGATTGATATATAGCTGTCCTTTGTTTATCAGAGGGCTAGTTCTAACATTTTGCATTCTGTTAAAGTAAATTGTGACACTGAAAAGAGTTTCCTATTATAATTTTTTTGTGTGCACCTTTGTTAAAAATCCAGATACAATTTATCAGAAAAAAACCCAAAGGTGGAATTAGCAGTTTTAAAAACGTAACCCGCCCTGGCCGGTTTTGCTCAGTGGTTAGAGCATCGCCTGTGGTCTGGAGAGACCCGGATTTGGTTCCTGCTAAGGGCACGTACCTCGGTTGCAATTTGTCCCCGGCCCTAGTTGGGTCATATAGGTGGCAACCACTCGATGTGTCCCTTTCACATCAATGTTTCTCTCTCTCTTTCTCCCTCCCACTCTATCTGAACAAAATATCGAAAAATGTCCTCTGGTGAGGATAAAAATATAAAAAATAAAATAAATAAATAAAATAAAAAACATAACCCATTCTAATCAGTTTAGTTTGAGAAGCAAGTGGCTTCCTGTATCCTACCTTCCAGAGGATCCTTGCCACCAAAGGGACGGTAGAGAAACCAAGTGGAGAGTAAGCCACTCCTTTGCCTTAAAACAGAGTTTTTAAGCTTGGCTGCACATTAGAATTACCTAGAGTTTTAAAACCAAAGTCTGGATCCTACCACCAAAGGTTCAGATTTCATAGCTCTTGGTGAAGCACAGATATTTATTACAAAGTTCTCCAGTCTGGCCAGTGTGGCTCAGTAGACTGAGCGTCATCCATGGACTAAGAGGTCCCAGTTCAATTCCCGGTGGGTCGGGGTTTCAGGCTCAATATCCAGTAGGGGGCATGCAGGGGGCAGCCGATCAATGCTTCTCTCTCACATAGATGTTTCTATCTCTCTCCCCCTTCCTCTCTCTCTCAAAAAAATCAATAAAAACATATTTTAAAAAAAGAAAAAAAGTTCTCCAAGTGATTTTCAACTAGGGTTGAAAATGTTTGCTGGAAAGCAAGGATCCCTAACCTAAGCAGGAATGAATTAAACCTAGGCCTGCAAACCTCAAGAAATTACAACCAAGATTTTACATGTATCACAAACCTTTGTAGATATGAGAGGGGAAGGTCTATACCTTTCATCAGATTTTTCTAAGTATCCCTGATACAAACCAAAAGAAAAACTTAAGAACTACCATAATTAATTTAAAAAGTACTTTTGGACTTCTTCTCAGGCAACAAAGTATAAGAACCCTGAACAACCAGAAACAAATGTAGTGAGCTCCATAATTGCCCAGAGTTCACTGTCTAATATCACACAAAATAGATTTCTGAGCAAAGGAGACTACCAGGGATAAAGAAGGTCATTTTATAATGATGAAGTCAATTTTTCAAAAGGACATAATCCTATACATTCATGCACCTAATAAAAACTTCAAAATGCCTGAAGTAAAAACTAATAGAACTTCAATGAGAAATAGACAAATTCACAGTAATAGCCAAAGATGTCAATAACCCTCTCAATAACTGACAAAAAACATAGATGGAAAATCAGTATGAATATGGAAGACTTTAGGAACACTATCAGTCACCTTGACCAGATGGGTAGTTACCAAACACCCCCACCCAATAACAACAAAATATATTCTTTTCAAGTGCATAGTGAATATTTACCATATTATTGGCCATAAAACACATCTCTGGGTTTAACGGGATTCAAATCAGGCAAAATATGTTCTGTGACTAGATAGAATTAAATTAGAGATAACAGAAAGATCTCTGGAAAAATTCCCAAATGTTAGAAAACTAAACAATACACTTCCAAACAGCTGATGAATCAAAGAAGAAAAAAGGAATTAGAAAGTATTTTGCACAGAATGAAATGAAACACAATTTATCAAAACTGGTGAAAGGGAAGCTTAGGGAGGCACAGAGAGGAGGGATTACAAAGGAACATGCATTATCTAGATTGTGATGGTTTCGTAAGAATATGAATGTCAAAATTGATCAAACTGTACCCTTTAAATATGTGCAATTTATTGTATGTCAATTATACCTCAACAAAGCCGTTTCTAAAATCTCATTAGAAAAGACTATTTTTAATATTTTTTTTCTTTATTGATTTTAGAGAGAAAGGAAGGGAGAGGGAGAGAGAGAAACATCAATGAGTGAAGACATGCCCCCCCTTCCACTGGGGACTGGGCCCACAACCTGGATATGCCCTGACCAGGAATCGAACCAGCGACCTCTTGGTGCATGGGTCGACACTGAGCTATACTAGCCGTGTGGAAATTACTTTAAATTGTACTTTATAATGTAATATGAGCAAAAACGTAAAACCTACTCATATTTCCAAATTTTAACCTGTTAGATTTTAAAGAAAAAAATACTTTATAACACTATCCAAAACTCTAAAATTATTCTTTCTTTCCTATAGCACTAAACATGATTGGGGGATTAAAAAAATATTTTTGAGTAGTAAAAAGACAATTAATTATTTGAACCATTTTCCTCTCTTATCTTCATCTCCACCTGAATGAGTTTACAGCCATCTAATGAAAATTCCTATTACTGCCCTTGCCTCCACTTCAAAACAGCCCTATATTTCTAATATCCTTTCTCTTTTTTGCTCCTCCTCTGTGTTCCAAAAAAAAGTCTTTGGCTCCTTTCCAATAATAAACTTCCCACTCTCTCCTGTATTCCTCAAAACCCTTTACTACCATCACTTCTCTCTTATAGCTTCACTTGACAGTTTTTTTCTTATGCTACTAACATACTCAAATCTTTCCTATGTGAAAAAAATTTGCATTTAACCATATTTCTTCTTAAAGCTACCACCCAATCTAACATAACATTTCTTTACTGCCAAACCTCTATAAATAGGTCATGACTGAACTCACCAGGATTTGGCTTTTCATCCAGTTTAATGATTATCAGGAGGAGTTAGAAAACTTTTTTGTAAAGGGCTAGGTAATAAATATTTTAGACTTTTTACACCATACAGTCTGTTGTAACTATTCAACTCTGCCCAAAGAAACTAAACTTAAACAAATGAGATACAATGATACACAAACAAATAAGAGTGGCTGTGTTCTAATAAAACTATTCATGAAAACAAGCAGCAGGCCAGCTTTAACCCACTGGTAGTAGTCTGCTGCCTTGGTGTGGGATGGGTTCTGAAGCCAGTCTGCCCAGGTGAAATCCTAACTCTGTCTCTTATTTGGTCAAGTAACTTAACTGTTCTGTGCCTCAGTTTCCTTATTTATAAAATGAAAATAATATGTACTTCGAGAACTGTTGTAAAGATCAAATTAACTTAGAACAGAGTCTATTAAACAGAAAATGCTCAATAAATGTTAGTTAATATTTTCACTCAAGCCCAGCTGGTGTGGCTCAATGGTTGAGCATTGACGTATGTACCAAGAGGTCACTGGTTCATTCCCAGTCAGGGAACATGCCCAGGTTGTGGACCAAATCCCCCAGTGTGGGGCATGCAGGAGGCAGCCAATCGATGTTCTCTCATCGATGTTCTCTCTCTCATCGATGTTTCTATCTCTCTCCCTCTCCCTTCTTCTAAAATAAATAAATAAATTATTAAAAAAATACATATATTTTCACTCAATACCACTAAATAGCACTGTCAACAATAACCTCCTCGTAGTCAAACTCAGAGGCCTTTTTAATTCTAAATGTTCATCCCACTTGACAATTCTGCAACACTCAACAACTCTACCCCTTAATATGTATACAACCTTGGACAAACTTCGATAGGTTTCATTAACTACAAAACGGGAGCTGATATAATAATAGTATTCACCTAAAAAATCTGTTGTAGAGATTAATGGGATAATCCATGAAAAGAGCTTAACAGTTTCTGGCAAACAGTACATCCTCAATAATGTCAGATATTATTACTACAAATTTTAAACACTTCCTTCCATCTTGAAGTATTCTGCTCTCTTAGAAGCAATGTGTTATAGTAATTAGAAGACGACTTCAGAGTTTCAAACCTGAGTTCATAACTGACCTCTACCATTTCCTGGCTCACTTTGGATACCTTACCCAACTTCAATTTCTTTATATGTACATATTATTGAAAGAAACTGAACAATAAATGTAAAGCACCTAGAGTACAGTGCTTGGTAATTAGTAAATGTAAGCATCCTCATGTTCTGTATCTATCTATGGACAGTTGTTCCCACTCAGCATGAATTTCTCATTTTGGCTTTCTTCTCTACAGATTATCCCCACAAAACCTTGTTCACACTCATACTTTTAAGGGGATGAATTCTTAAACCACCTGTCTTGTTTGAACCTCTGAGCTCCAGAACCACCTTTCCAACAGTCTTTATATATCCTTTCCCTACTCCCCAGTCCTTACCCTTCACCAGGCACTGCAATCTCAACATGTACTAAAACTGTATTTTATCTTCCTT